AGGGATCCCAACTCGGCGAAGTATTGAAGGGCCACAATTATTTTGCAAGTGTGGAAAACCTTCTGCTTCACCCTTTCCCAAACCACGGCTCAGGCTCGCTAGAAACAACGTCTTATCGGCGAGTCTGTCTCTCAGCTACATGATCGTTATGAGCCGAAGTGAGCCTCGGGGATGGAGAAACGCAGCCGTATGTTTCCCCGATTCCCTCCCCCTCCACTCCCTAACGACGCTACTAGCTCTGGAATAAGGTCCTTTTTATGAAAAAGAAGGACAAACCATAAACTCAAAGTGATCCCGCACAGATTCGGGAGAAAGGATTAAAAAAACCGAGCGAAGGTAAGTAAGATATAGCATAGAGGTTACAATCATGTACTAAAACCTACACTCGGGTCACTACCTATGGTAAGCCACGCGTAAAACTCTGGAGCACCGCAAACCAGGAAAACCAGCCAGATGCAGAAGATCGCTCCAGGATTGGAAAGACCAGCCCGACGTGAGCTGTTCATTAACAACAACACTGATACCTAAATAAATAAGGTTATTTTCATGGATGCAGAGGGGACTCCATTGCATGAAAAGTAATTAAATATAGCACAATAAATACCATCGATATCGATTGAAAGATTGGATAGACGATGTTGACTGTTGGCACGGGATGTGAACCGAGTACCGCCCGCCATACATTGAAAAATAGCAACACAAGCTTGTCGCCGATCATCAGTGCCGTGACAAGCTAAAATGAAGTCGAATTCTCTGGCGTACATGCTCGCGGTGATCCATTTCAAGGGTGCTTTTCATATAGTGGAGGTAAACATCAATAAAGTATCTGCCAACGACTCGCCCATGAAAAAAAGCAGAAGCGACTATCGAGCTAAATAAGGCCTCGCTGCAATTGGCTCCAAGCTAGAAGGAGAGATTCGCTGGGTTTTCGGTAGAGGAAGAAGACAAGAGGGGCGAGAGAGCACCAAACGAGATAGCTGACAAACGCCAACTCTGGGACTACAGGGGGAGGCAAAAAAAGACACTTTTCTTCCTTGACTTTCAAGGCGATATAAGTTACACTTTATTGAATTCTGATTGGACATTTCCACCACCATATTCAACAGCATATTGTACACTATCACGATACTCCGCCACAGCCTTCTGGACGAGCGCCATCGAGAGATTCTGCCACGCGACCGTGATTTGGTAGTTCAGCGAGGTCGTTGATTTCTCTGTAGACCGCCCTGTTGAGCTGCGCTCGAACCCGGTAATCGAGGGGCTTAGGTCAGGTGACACATTTGGATATTCCGTCTTCTTCAGGTACTCAACGTCCTTCGATCC